CATTTAAACGATAGAATTCCTCTGTGTACTCGTTTACTGTTCGATTGTTCTGTCGACAATTCTGATATTGCTGGTACAAAAATTGCTCATAATCTGGGGGGAGAAATCGTCTTTGCAATAACCGTTTCATCTTGGGCCAAGTTTGCACACGTTTTCCTTGTCGTTGACGATTAAATTGAAGTTGTTCCCATCATGCCGAAGCTCCACCCTTTTATTTAGTTGTTTTGGAGTGTTTTAGAACGTGTTAATGTGTTTTATGTTATTTTATAGGTTCGGCAAAGTGGTGAAAAATGTAGATTGAGTTAAAAAGAATGTGGAAGAATACAGCAACTGGGCGTTGCACCGCCCAGACATGGAAGCAGAAGAAACAGAAGTTTGGTGCCGCAGCACCAAAAGGAACAACGCGGCGCCGCGAAGCCAGGGCCGCATATGAGAAAATTTTTGATTTTTTGGACTCTTTTCTTGTCCCAATCCGACCCTAACTCCTCCAAGACTTCAAAACACTATAAATACAACTCTAGAGACCACTTTTTGGAGGGAATTCAATAACGTAAAAAGCAAGAGGCAAGAGATCAATGAAGAGAAGGAGGCAACAACGATAAGAATTCAAGCGTCAAACCAGTTTTTATTTATTTTCTTCTCCATGTTTTGGATATTGAATTTGATCATGTCTACTTCATTAATCATGTTCTACATTTTTAATTTAGGGTTTGATGTAGCTAGCCCAAACTTCAGACCATATTTTGATTTTATTTAGTTATTTCTATGAAATTTTCCTTACCGTTTATTTGTGTTATTTGTTTAATACATTCAATTACCTGATCAATAATTGAATGATTTGATGCTAGTCAATTTCGGCACTTGAGAGGGAAATTTATGATCGATCTAAGAATAACACAACCTAGAATTTATAGGTTTTGAGAGAAAATATAAAATCTTTGAAGGTTGTTCCACTTAAGAACCATGAACTTGATAATTTCTAAATTTTAATTCGAAATAGAAATATTGGAATTGAAATATAGAAATAGTTTTTACTCGGCACTCGAGAGAGGGAGTAGAATAATAGGATTCTTGCTTTTAAGAAAATCAATTAGAAATAACTATATATTTGATAAACATTGTTGACAGTGAGGTGAAATCATGCCCTAGATTTTCTCATATTGATTTATTTGTTCAAATTTGCATAATATTGTGGAATTGTCATCACATTCATCTTATTAAACTAGTTGAAACCATCGATTACAACATTCATATGTCTCAATAAAATAGAGGCTAAAATAATTACAGTACTTGGTATAAATTGAATTTCAATCACTGTTGGTTCGACATCCATACTTGATCATATGTTACAAAACTTGACACCGTACACTTGAGGTATAATTACGTCACATAAAATGCGTAACAATTATGGTGTAATTCTAAGGTGAAAACGAGTTTAGATGCAGAGAGAGAGAGAGAGCAAAATCCTCCCACATCTAATCTAATAGAAAATAATGGGGCTCTATTATCGAATCTAAAGATCTCAATCTAAAATATTCATGACTTGATTTTTAATAATAAAGTCAATTCTTTATTTGTTCCTTTGCATGCTGCTCATCATTTATGGTACAGTTGCTTAACAGAAATTTATTTTTTTAATTAATTTGACACTCAATAAAAGGAAATTTGAAAACAATAAAGATGAAGCAGCACTAAACATCAATAAGAATACTTTGACATGAATAGAAGCAACTTTAATTCTTTACAATAGGAAATAACTGCAAACCTTTATTGGATTTTCTGGCGCTTTTGATGACACACGATTCTTCTGCCTAATAAATATCTGTTTCACGAACATGCAACATCACATCAGATTAGCAAGTCTTCAAAAATTATTAAAAGACTCCAAAAAAGACTCTAAAAAAAGCAAAAAACGATTATGTTATTTATCATTTCCAAGGAAGTAAATCAATTCATGTACATGAAAATTTGTTAGTATTATATTTCACCAACCCATTGCAAATAATACCATGTCAAAACAAAGAAATTTTAGAGCTAGATTGTAAATTGCAAGATAAAATTTGTCACCTGGTGCTTAGATTTGCAAGGAAGAAATCGCTGCTGAATAGCCTTCCAGTCAGAGTTATATTCCATCAATCCCAGAGCTAATAACCTGCAAATAAATCTCATGGTGACACACAGAGTTCAAAGTTCGAATTATAAAATTTAACATAAAAGTTGTCATGAATGGTGAAATTGCAGACCATCATTGAGTTAGACTCACAGCCATCATTTTAAAACTACTGTGATCAATGTATTATTGTGAATACTCTTTTCGGTTTCAGAAATATGAGTCAACAACAGCAATTAGAGGTAGAGCATAAAATATATGGCTGACATAGGCTAGGAATTTGAGGGGGTATCACAGTATATTATACGACTCGGATATGAAAAAGAAGATGGACAAAAATCAAAATACATAGAGAATATTGCTTAGGAACAGAAGATGAACAGAACTAAAATTCTTAAGGCAGACAACCATAGAACGTCAAAATTAAATAAAGCAATCATCAAAGCATCTCCTCTTGAAATTAAGGATCAGCAGGGGCAATCAAGTGATCGAATCCATGGAAGCAGAACATGAAGAGGATGGGCACTGCACATCCTTATATGTACATATTAACACTGCAGCTAGGAATATGAAAGAAGAGATGAGAGTAAAGTAAAATGTTTTGCAATTCACTACTGGTGTCATACGATGGTCAAGTGTGAAGTCAAGAAAATTGATGGGAAATAAAGATAAGAATAAAGATAGGATTTTAAAGTAGAGTTTGATTCAAATTATGTTTTTTTTACTTTAGATTAGTTCTGATATTTTCATAAGATTCTAACTTACTAAAATTTCTTTTGATTTTAACTTCTTTTTCCTATACAAAGGGCCTTATTCATTGTAATACGTACACTTCGATATTGAATTAAATTTGATAGTTCTCCCCTTCTCTATCTTCCTCTTTCTTTTCTCACTCTTGTTCTTGTTCGTTGCATCCTACATCAATATATACACTACCACACAAACCTAGCCCACTTGCCACAAAGCCCACATCCAACTTTCATCCATTAGTTAAATCCTAACGCAACCCAAGCCCATAAACTCAGCAAAATCCAGCCCAACAAAAAAGAAGAACCCATTATATCCTGCCCACACGTCCCATTGATACTATTCCAATCCCACACTGGACCCACTAAGCACAACCTACCAAACCCATAACAATCACCATCTTTGACAAACCAATACATAACCTAATCTCGCTGCCGGGGACTGCATCTCTTCTGGTACCAGCACAACCACCCCCATTAAAAATAAATAAAATTGTCCTTTCGCTACTATCTCAACCACTTCGAAAAGTCAACTACCACAGTGTAACGTCACCTGTGTCCTCTTCCACATTAGCTATGCCAGCCTGACAATGTTGACTTAGACATAGTTTAGCTCTTTTGAGCCTTATGAGGTATCATTTCTTTTTTGTTGAAAGTGTTTGCTTTTGTTTAGGTGTTTTGGCCTGTCTATGTTAGTATTAAATAATAAAACAAACAAATAATAATAATAATAAATCCATATTTTTTCATATATTATTTTTATAGATAAAAAAAATTAAATAATAAAAAAACCACAAAAAATATAGTTGCTAAAAAAATGTTGTGGCGTACCTATCTAAGTTAGGAGACTAATTGTCAACAAACAGAAATAATCTTCCTCCCTCGCTATCTTTATTTGAACTCTTATCTTTACATGAACAAATTGCGGATTTGGTCTTATGACTTGACCAATCACCTGTTATTTTCATGCTCACATCTCTTTCTCCACTTATACAGTATTGTCTCCGATGAACTATTAAAACATCAACATATTCCTATACAGGTGGCAGTGAGTTCTTACCTTAGTGAAACATCCCGAAATACTGCACTTGATGCCCCAGATAGTGAAGAGACCATGCATGATATCTTTCCATTAATTATATCATCATTAATGTTCCTATCTGACAACTCCAACGAATTGTATACTAAGGGAGCTAGAGTACTTAAAACTATAGCTAATGTAGGTACTATATCATTATGTTGGATCTAGACCGTCAGCAAATGATAATTGACACGTGCCAACATTTTCTTTTAGCCTATGAAAAACTTATCTAAGGAATATCTTCACATCTACATAATATCTTCTTCCTCTTCTCAATCTTGTTCTTTGTTTTGTATTGTTCGTTACAAAAAAATGGTCATCACGCAATGATCAGATGTTAGAATGAATTATACAAGCGAAACTTCTGATGTAGAAGGTCACTAGGCTAAAACTAGTTGCTGCTTGCTACAGTTATCCTAGTAATAGGTTACTTAAGGACTGTGTGATGTGTCTAAAAGTTGATAAAAATTGGCGGGTCCCATGAAATGAGAGGTGAAAAAGTGGATAAAAGTTATGGGTCCAATGTACTTGTGGTTAAAAATGAAACTTTGACCATCTTTTAAGCAAACAAAAGCTTTACCAAACAAGCACTTAGTAAATTTGATTTGAATGACTTACAGTAGATAGCAGGGGAGAATAAAAGTAGGTTGGAATTGAATTGGGAGGAATGGAAAACATTCGGTATGTTTGGGCTGATACTAGTGGCCAAGACAAGGAAATGGATAAGCCCCACTATTAGATATCCTAAAGGGATCAATGAAGGACAACAATAAGGAGAACATGGATTAGAAGCTCTCTCATTATAGCAAGAAAGAGAACTTAAGAGGCTGAAAATTCGATAAACTAAGATAGGATGAGGAGAATGGAAGGAGCGAGAATGTTGGAAAAGAAAAGAACTTGTTTTGTCCAGTTGAGATTCTTTTGAATATTTTTTTGCCAACAAAGTTTTGAGTGGTGCGTGTATTGAATAATACAAAGTCTTCTCTTCAATTTGTAATAGGCTTATGCCTCCCTCTCCCATATTCCAATATCCATGAATGACTTGAAAAAGAAATTTCTCTACAACAGAGATTGAATTGTCTCCACTTAGAAAATTTGTAAGGAAACGGTCAGCTCAAGCTATAAAAAAGTAGCCGCCATCAGCCTCAAAAAAAATTGCTTCTGTCTATAAGCTATTTATTACACATCTACAACCAGATTTTCATTCAAATGAATTGTTAAGAAAGTGCAGGAAGAAAATGCTGCACTGTCGCAATCTTGCATTGTAAAAATGGATTTTCTATAATAGTTCAATCCGAGAAATATTGACAAGGTGCAATGAGTGTAAAGTAACAGAGAAAAGTACAACTCACTCATCTTCTGAATCAGTGAACAGCACACGACTTGTAAGAGCTGCAGGAGGTGGCTTATGAGGATAAAGGGCTGGATTAAACAATGGACAAAACCTCTGGGCTAATTTAGCAATTTCCTTGGGAACAAGAGCAACAGATTGATTTTTCGCCTTCTCAATTAGTGTTGCAGACATTGTTTTCTTGGGCTTTTTTTTGCTGGCTGGCGAAGAAAGAATCAAACCCTGACCATCAGGTTCAGAAGAACTGGGAAACTTACAGAGAGGAAACAAGGGTTCCCTTTCGAAGTGAGTATCAAAACCTACTCCAATTTGACATCGCTCATATGCTCGGGCAGCTGCCAGATTCCACAAGAATAATCAAGTAAAGATCATAAGCAAAACAAAAACATAGTTGCAAAAACACAATGAACATATCATTTATCCAACATGACATACCAGAAGAAACATCATTTATATAGTTTCCAACTAAACGGAGTGGAGCGACATCTAGAATAGACAGCACCAGACCACTAATACAAGGGACCCAAGAGGTGCATTCCTGAGTTTGAAAACAAACTACCTGCTCACTGGGAGGAACCTTATATCTCCCATCAGACAGGGAATTTGTATCAGAATGCAAAGCTGTGTTACTAGCAGAAAGCCGGTCTTGTTGGACATCACAAGTATCAGAAATTTCATTGTTGCACTCTGGTGGCAAATTCTTGGGAAGCTCATCTGGCAATGATGGATGAATATATGGAAAGAAGAAGCAAAAACTGGGATATGGTATCCTTCTCCATGACAATACTTCATCACGTTTTTGAAGCATCTCTAAAATCAATTTTTGAAGTTCTGTAGCGATGTGGCCTTTTGCAGGTTCTAGAACACAAATAGAAAAAATTTGAATAAGAAGCTGCACATGCTCATGTATCAGACAATGCAACTGTCCTATCTGATGCGGAGTGAATCCATTCACCAGACCATTATTTACAGGAGGCATATAGGGTGGAGAAATGTTGGGCAGCAGGTGTTTCCCATCATAAGTAGGAAAAGATCCAACTGATGAAAATGGTAATAAGGGCCGTAATGGTCTATTCGACTGTCCTGACACCTTGCTATGTTCAAGAGAAGCCTTTTGACGTCTATTTAGCCTAGTGTTTGATCGCTCTTCAATCTCATCAGGGTCACTTTCCAATGCCTCTTCAAGTTCAAGGTCAAAATCAGCATCATTTTCTTCATCTTCATCATCAACATTTTCAATCCCTTTTAAATTCTGGGAATCATCTACACCTTGTAAAACAGCTGCAAGAAATTTCCTATATTCTCTTTCATCGTCAACATTTTGAAGTTCATCCTCATCATCTGTTTCTTGAAGAAAAGTCTCGAGTTCATCAAGTGTAAAGCTGGCAAGAGAATAGCGAGCCCTAGTTCGCATACAGATGGCATCCTCAGGGTCCACATCCGTAATGAGCTTCCCAGAATCTGCAGCATTGCTAGCATCTGCCCTGCTGCTTGATTCATTCTTCTTATCACATGGAAATCCATTATCAGATTGAGAAATCAAAGCCAGTTCTCTCTCAGTAACTGTAGAAGTTATGTCTGACTTTTTTGCCAATGCTTCTCCAGAGGAAACAATAGTTTGCATCACAATCTCTTCGCCATACTCAGTATCCCCAATAGGATAGTTCTGCACAGGGTTTGCATGCTTTGCCTCAGAATTTTTAAGGGAGGCTGCAGAAGTGTTTTCCCCACTATCAGCAACATCCACATCCAAGCCTTCAACTTCAGAACTCAAGCTTGAAGAAGCTTCTACAGAATGAGTTTCTCTCAGGAAAGGATTGAAATCTACATCCTCTTCCTCATCCTCGTCCTCGGACTCATCGGCAGCTTGTCCATTCCTTTCCTCGTCATTCTCACGTTGCAACAGTTGCTCACTGTGTTTGGATAAGTTGGTATCAGCAGGAGAAACGCTTCGTTGATTCAAGTCCTTAACTTCATCAGCAGGAGAACATGCAGACATTTTGATGAAAGGATACGTAGGGATGCCAATGACTATGAACTCTTGCAAGCATCTAAATTGACTAGTGTTTTCCTGTGTGTCCAGAAATGAGCAGATATCTACCTTTTTATCTTTTCAATTTCACAATAAAATCTCCCTGCCTATAAGTGAAAATCCAAAACAGGCGAAAATATATCAGAGGCTGCAGAAAACCTGCATATGTCCTAGTCAGAGATTAAACATCAAAACTGGAAAAAGTAAAGCCTGATAAGCAGAATAGTTAATGGTAAAAAATAACATATGAGAGAGCAAGCAGGAGATACAGAGGTGGAAAAACAGAAGCTTTCTGTTCCATTTTTTCTTATTAGCTCCAAACGAACCTACATTTCAATTTTGCAGTAATAAAGATGGTCAACAAATAAGAAGTGATTCACATTGTAAGCTAAAAGACATTCAAAAGAAGGCACACACATGCATGTGTTTGTGTCCATGTGAGAAAAAGAGGCGGATTAAAAAGTACAAGTTCAGCCGATATAGCAAACAAATCAAGAATAAGTCATCCGTCATTGTTTAAGAAAGCGAAGGCAACACGGGTCTTGACTCCGAATCCATGAAATGGACTCAAAAAGATTTCGTTCTTTTCTTACCTGACAGCTCTAAAACAAAATTTCCGTTACTATGTAAAACTTTCTCGACTCTTGATGGCAAAAGGCCCAGTGATAGCCAGGATGAATGCTGTCTCCTTTATCATAAAGTGGAAACAAGCTGATTGCAATTGGATTCGTGGTGTATGAGAAATTTGTCCTCATATTTCTACCTTCAGACTACAGTAGACACACAATGACAATTTATGCATTCATTACTGAAACGGGCAATCCAACCAAGTATTGGAAGTTGAAAATCTAAACAAGAAGAGAAGTTGTAGAATTACACATGAAACATGCCACTGATCATTGGAAATCAATTTTTAGGTTCTTAGCAATGCTTCATTGAATTTTTCGGACCAACTCAGAAGATTCACAGTCCCTTTTTCTCATTAATAATTAATATATATCAAAATCGCATAGAATTACATTCTGAATAACTCAGTTATACATTGCTTGTCAATGAATTGTCCTCGGTTACATTCTATTGGCTCAAAAAGATCAAAATTTTCTTTACATTTTATTGGCATAAGTGCCCATTCTAAATAATGAAATTCGCAAAAAACCACTATAATTTTTCTATAAAATACAAATATAAGCGTAAAATATATAATAAACAGTTAAAAGAATAAAATTTTGAGCTCGTTTCAGATAATTAACACACACAAAAAAATGAAAAATTTACCTATTTTACAGATAGGGATCACAGCGAAAATAAAAATGTAACATATCTTACGCTTACCTTGAAAAATACTTGAATCGGGATAGCTACAAGAACTCACGAAGAGGCAACATCAAATTCGCGCAAACAGAGAGATCCCTTGCAAGACTTTGGGTAAATTGAAACCAAAAATTGAAGGACAATTTACAAAAATACCCCTGAAATAAGTAACTTTTTCAAAATCATATAAAAAGGAATTTAGGGTTTGATTCTTGTTCTTCTACTCATTTTTAACCACATATTTTTCAATAAAATAATATTTTCCACCACATCAATAATTTTTCTTTTTTTTTAACAACACATTTTCCATCAATCTACTATTCTAAAATACATTCTTTCAAAATAACGTGACTCAAACACATCCTAAAAGTAAAAAAATACTGTGTAAAATTAAGCGTCATTTTTTGACATTTTTTTTTTCTTTATTAAAAAGTGACATTGTAGTGACATAAATACTAAAAAGGTTAGAACACAATAACATATAAGTTGGAAGTAATATGAATTCAAAAAAGTGATGACAATAAAAGAAAAATGAGAAAATTCAAAAAAGCCACAAGCACTAAAAAAGGTAAGAGACGCCAATCAAAATCTAAAAATAGATCCAGTGGTGGTTGATTTTCTTTCACATATTGCATTGTTATTATTATTATTATTATTATTATATTTCATTTATATTAATTAAAGATGGAATATAACTTCATTTTAACAAAACACCACCTTATAAGTTGAAAGTGACAAAAATTTAAAAAAAAAAGACCATAAATAAAAAAGTAGAGTGTCAATAATTCAGAATGACCTTACTATCTACACGTAAAACGCATGACCTTTACATTTAATCATGTATGATATCACGTATTCAATATAATAATGATCAATCTCATATGTGAATAATCACATCAACATAATTTATAAAGATTTATACTGTTTTGTCTTCAATGTAATTTATAGTAATTCATAAGAGACAAATCAAACAAATTAATAGAACCTTAGTCAAAATTGTAAGTTAACCACTTCCAATAATCAGAACCATAGAACTTCGGATCACCAAATTAAAAACCTCGATGAATCCCCTCTACAAATTACAACAAATCATTGCCCAAAACATTCAATCATCACTTTCTTGAACCCATACATAAGGATCAAACACTTTAATGCCAAAAACCTTCTGTTTATATGCCAAAATGCAAATAAATTTCAAGATTCACGGACCCTTTGTCCCTTCTCAACCAAGTCACATTGTTGACACACTAAAAGTGCAGTCCAAATTAAATAGTCCAAAGAGTGAAGCCCAATTGGGGAGTTCAGGATAAAGGCCCAAATAAGATTATCGATGAATGCAGAGGAAGCCCACGAACACAATAACATTATCGCCCAAGCTTGCAAGACATCCAGAATCTGAGCGAATGGAGTGCCTTACAGTCGCCCAGAGCGATGATCTCGTTCTCGCCCAGAGTCTTAACAAACATGAGATATTATGGTTATCCAGAATAACGGTTATTGAAGCAGTTATCGAGCAGACTTATCACATTCCACGATTCAAGGAGCCCATTTGAAGGCGATTGAACGACAAGAGCAATGACCGAAGTTAGAGATGACAGTTCTACGACAATTTATCGACCATGAAGAAATTGGGTAGTTATAAAGCAATCAAGTAGTTTTCAAGCGGTTTGTCACGAAGAAATTATCATGGGAATATAAAAAAGAAGAGAAGACATAGAGAAAAGATCTCAAATCAAACACTCTCAAATAGAGAATATGTAATTTCAATTTCTTAGATTAACTTTAATTATCCATTTTCAGTATTCGTGTGCTTGCGCCCCTTGGAGGCATTCTGTTTATTTTCAATTGTAACTCTCATCAATAAAGCACCACTTTTTGGGACTTTGTCTCAAGAGGTTTGTCCCTTACACAATCGTCTGAATTCTTTTTTAATTGTTAGCGACTACCCGCGCGAAACAATTTGGCACGCCCAGTGGGACATTGTGTTTAGTGTTGAATATACAAAAAGTGAAGCATTATGCCTCATAAACATTCTGATAAGGAACCAGCAAGTCAGGGAGTAGTCCAGTCTGTAATCGAGTGATATGAGGAGCAGCAAAACTGTCCACGAACAGAGGGACAGAGTCAAAGCAGTCACAGTCGTTACGAACCAATAACAGAGTTGAGTCCTCGAACCATGCGTGCATTGCTTGGAGAACTTACATAGGACGTCGTTGAATAGGTAAATCTACGAAATGTTCATAATATGGAAAGATTTACCCAAAGTGGGAATGCACATTATGACAATATGGCCAAACAACTGAATACATTAAATGAGAAAATGAACAATTTAGTAGGCCAAATGTGTCAGTCAGTTATGCCTATTGCAAACCACTTTCAAACCAGGACAATTGTGGGGCATAATTCACCACATAATTCTTCTAGTTTGAACTTAAATCAAGGACTAGAACCACCATTTGGCCCGTCTACTTCAAACTAGGGGGGGTAATGGAATGCCAAACTTAAATGGTGGTAATTGGATTACTAACCTCGGAGGTAATTCAATTATAAGAGATAATGTCTTGAATGATGGACAAAACGCCCCGCGCGTTAATGATGGTTTGAACACTCAGTTCAATGGTAATAACGGCCCAAACTTAAATGGTGGTAATTGGATTACTAACCTCGGAGGTAATTCAATTATAAGAGATAATGTCTTGAATGATGGACAAAACGCCCCGCGTGTTAATGATGGTTTGAACACTCAGTTCAATGGTAATAACGGCCCAAACAATGGCAATTTTGTTGCCAACCAAGGACCAAATATTAGGCCTCAAGCGAATCAACCATTAAACTAACCTATAGGAATTCCATATGATCCCAATGTCATGTTGAGGAATCAAATCATGAAGATAGTACAGGATCAAATGGCTCTTGGGGTACGTCCTGTCATTAGGCCTACTTACACGAAGCCATATCCTGATTGGGTAGATCAAGCATATCCATGGCTTAGAGGGTACAAAGTGCCAGAATTTTCATTATTCACTGGTTTAGGAGAATTGTCCACTCTAGAACACATAGGGCGATTCACACTGCAGAGTGGTAAAGTAACCGACTTCCATAAAATGAGGTTATTCCCTAGTTCATTAACAGGAATAACCTTCTCTAGTTCATTAACTTGCCAGCAAACTCTATTCAAACATGGCAACAATTGGAACAATTGTTCCATGCTTAGTTTTATAAGACTGAATCTGAAGTTACTTTGGCCGATTTGACGAATCTACGTCAAATGACAATGAATGGACAGAAGGTTTCTTTCAAATGTTCAAAACAACAAGAAGTAAGTGTTTTGTACCTTTGCCTGAAAAAAGAATTTGTCAAAATTGCTCAAAGTTGTCTAAGCTTTGTTGAAAAAGAAATCCAAGACAGGGAATTTCCATATCTTTTTCAATTGAGCGCAAACGTTATTAGGTATGAACGATTAATAAGAGAAGAAGAGCATATGAAAAATTCTAGCAAAGGGACTTATTATAGAGACCTAAATTTTGATGTTCATACCATTAATGACGAATATTACGATCAAACCGAAGTATGTTTGGCCGAATTAATCAAAGGATATGCATATACTTGTCCTATAATGGCTAAGCCTAGGGCGTCAGGCAAGGATGAGCCTATAAAAGATGAAAATAAAAAGGCTAGAATGTTCTCGTTCGATGTAACCAAAGCTGACCTTATATTTGATAAATTATATAAGGATAAGCAGATAAAGCTAAGCAATAAATATAAGTTGCCAAGCCCTGAACAAATTAAGGGTAAAAATATTGAAAGTGGCATAATGCATGGTCACATTTGACTAACAATTGTTTGGTTTTTCACCATGTGTTACAGGATGTCATTAAATCTAGACGAATTACGTTTGAGGATAAGAAGAAGATGGCAGTGGATGAGAACCCTTACCCACAACCACTTGGAGTAAATATGGTGACGATTGGTTTTAAAAACAAGTTGCCAAAATTTAAGTTGATCATAGATGACGGAGAAGAGGACCCTAGGTCACTCTACAGTGTCTTCGAACATATCAAAGGGAAGGAACCTAAAAAGGATGAAGATGTCCTATGTGCAAGATGTAAAGGAGAAGTGAGTGCGAAAACAGAGAACTCAGGAGCAGGGCAACGTCACCATCGCCCTGATTTTGTTCCAAACGCGCAGCCTTTTAGAGGGCGAGGTACGTCATTCTATAGATGACTGCCTTTTGAGAGGTAGTTCAGGCTAACGAATAATGTGAGGACATTTAAGCTGCAACCTCGCCAACCAAATGTATGATATTCATTCTAGTATAATGTAGGAAGGGTGACACCTTTCAATGAGATGACTAGAATCCAACAAAGGTGTTTTCAACGGAATTATGGACGAATGATGAGACAACAATAGGGATTGCCACGTCCTAAGGCGCTTAAGCTAATCGAGGTAGCCAATCAAAATGTTCTTGAAGACAGTGAAGAGACTGGTATAGGCGAATCGATGGGAGAATTGCCAAAGAGTTCTTCTGGGAGATCAAAGTTTGAGCAAGACAGAAGGGATGAAGAAGATCCAGATTAGTCCCTTGCTATTCAGTT